TGAGCCTCAACTTCTAAGATCTCCTCCTAACTCTGAGGGCTGCTTAGGTACTTAATAATCTACTTTGTGGGTTCCTTTTCATTTTTTTACCACTCAAAGTACAGTGCTTGCCAAATCTCCATTTCTAGCTGTCTTCTCACTCTCCCCTTTTAATTGTACACACTTACACAATGATAAGCACCATTTACATGCTGACAGTGTCCGAGTTCACGTCTCTAGTCATGGCTTCTTACACAGCTCCAGACCTGAATTTTCTAGTTACCTACTGGTTATCTCCCTTTGGAGAGTTGGATGTGTAGAAGAGCCAACATTCCCCAAATTGAGCTCATTCTCTGCTCAAGCCTCATTCCCCTACCCCACCCCACCTTCCTAACCAGCTGCTCTCCCTATATCCTTGGTGTCGATTTCAACACTATCAGAAGCTTGGGATTCACCAAGTCCTGTCGCTTCACCTTATGGATGTCCTGACTGTATACTCTTTTCTTTCCACTTCTGTCTTAGTTCACCAATACTTCCTGGATTTTTGTAGTTCTGCTCTACCTCGATTCTCTTTCCACATGTCAGGAACATTTTCCTGTAGCATGAAATCTGCTCATGAGATTCTTTTATTTGTATCCTTGCATGAGCCCCTACAGCCTTTGGAACAAAATTTAAACTCTTCAGCAAGCCACCAAAATGGTCTCCATGATTTGATCACCAAATAAGTTCTAACTACCAACTCTTACCACCTCTTTTCTCCCACTCAACTTCAGTCATGTTAAGCTACTTGCAAATCCTTCACACCACTTATTTTTCCTGTGTCTTTTTCTGCTTTAGGCTTCTTTCTTCTTGGAATACCTATTCACAGACTATCTTTTCTATGTCACATCCTAATATTCAACACTTCCAATATGCCCAGTGTATTTCCTCTCTCAAAGCACTTATGCCTTGATTCTTTCTACATTTGTTGATTTAAGCAGTGGATTTAAGGCTGTGATTCTATATTCTGTTTCCTCACTTATATGGTACGGTGTCTAGTGAATAAAAACAACTACCTACTGTGACTGCAAATACTTCACCCAGTATTGTGGCATTTATCAGAAGTCAAAACAGCCAACCAAACATTGCACAGAGAGTAAAACCAGAACTACTATCATCTTGTCTATGTGCATGTTATGAACAACTACCATCAGTAGTGAAATCAACAACTGAGGAACATGTGAGACAGACACTACTCAATGGGCTGCTAAGAAAAAGTTTTAGGGAAAAATATATGATTTCTGCTAAGCATAAGTATAGCAGGAGCCTGCAGTAGAACTCAGACTCAGAAAGTTTTATGGGGTCAGACTTATCAGAGGACAAGTCACTCTTTTTCACTACTCTGTTGCTAATGCCTGCCACCTGATAGCATCATAGTAGCCACTAAAAAAGTATTTGTGTTGAACTGAATTTTAAAATGTGCAGCTGGTGATACAAGAAAACATCTGTTTATAAAAAAGGCAGTACTTTTTACCATTCACCATTCCATAAAAAGGTAATTTGTGTATGTGTTTACTAGAACTCTTTCCTCAAAAGTGAAATATTTCTTCACTCTTTGGTTGGCAAATGTGTTGTTTCAAGATGGAGAAGAATTTGCTTTAAATGAAGAGAAAGCTATTTCAATCCGTAATCCTCAGAGCCAATTTTGGATCTTAAAATGCACTTTTCATCAAAGAATCTTAACAAAAAAATTCCTGCCAATTTAACCAAGAGATCCAAAAATATTTCATTCCAAAGCCAAGCTTTCTGCTCAGGAGCATTCTCAATGAGATGTCATTCTTCCAAAGATCTTGTACTGAGCCAACAGTCACCTGAGTCACCTCGTCCAACTACCATCATCACCTTCCTGAAGCAAGAAGTCACAATGGCATGCATTTAGGAATTTGGCATTTTCCTGACATTTACACTTGGTTTCCAAGTTCACCTGCAACTTCTTTCTACCTAACAGAGTATTTGAATAATCCAAGCCAGAGACACAGGTAACATGTCTACCCTCATTAGAAACACAGGGAAACTGAGACCTAATAATAATAAAGTACCCACCCAAGACACACTTCGGGAAGCAGCAGAGTTGACGGTTTGAGGGCAGTTGTCTTGGGTGCTAGCCTGGAGTTCAGTCATATTGGGTGCTGCTCATTGAACACCAATACTTTTCACATGTATGACTTTATTAATTCTGGTAGTCATTGTAGAGAGGTAAGATGGAATTATTCCTACTCTTGAACAGGTGAAGAAATTGAGTCCCGTCTAATGGTGAATTTCAGCCAGATGACTAACCAGCAGAACCAGCAGCCAAGATGCCACGTGGTTCAGGGTCTTGCCTTCATCATCACTGACTAGTTGGGTGACCCACATGGATACAGGCCTCTTTCCTTTCAGGCCTGTGTCCTGACAATTTCTATGGTCAGGTATCTCCTCGAAAGGCAGACTTGCTCTAATAAAAGAAAGTTCTCATTGCCAGAGGACACAATGGATAATGTGTGTTGATCAATTTTGAGGTTTCACTTAAATAATCAATTGACTGTTTTTTTCAAAACTGAATAGAATCACAAGACCCCTGATTCTTTTCCACCTGAACATGGGACTCAATGTGGCACTGGCATCTTCTTATTTTATGTAGACACCAGTGATGGAATTTCCCCAGTGTTGCTTCAAATCCAATAACTGTATTTTTGAAACAATAATATCATACCTTACAAAATGTCTCTTTGAAGGATTCATTTAAGGTCATCAAGACTGCTTGCTGAAATAAGTGTTAATTTTTCAACAAGTAAAGATGTGTCTGGACAAGTCCACGTGTGTTGGCATTAGGCTAAGAAAGGAATCTGGCATGGAATTTTTAACACTTGGTTCTAATCATTAATGCTGCAGTCCTGTCCTATTTACAACCTGACATTTGTTTTTGCACTTTCAACATCCCATGATTTTGCAGCTACAGTAAATAGCTTTAAGAAATGACACCTCGCCTTAGCTGGGTCTATATTTTGACTAGCAGGTCTTGGCATTATGTCCACCTCAGCTATCTCTCCAAAATGCTGTATTCAGATATAAAATGAGAAAAAAAAAACTTAAGAGGAGGGGAAAAAACCTCTACTACTGTAAACTTTGGGATATAATACACAAAAGTTCTTAGCTAACCTACAAGAGTCAACTTCTAATTATTTCATCATTGCCTCTTTGGATCCTAAATATTTCTTAACTTTTCAATAAAATGTCAATTTTTTTTTATGATGCTCTAAAGAGGAAGGTAGTTAAATTTGGGGGAAGAAAAGAGCATCAGTAAAGCAAAATGTCAAAGAAAGGTTTCTAAATGAACCACTTTTAGGACACATAGGACCATAGCTGGTTTCTCTATCACTTTGCTTTTAAAGACACAATTCAGACTCAAGCCCCTGAGACTTAGGAGGTCAACCATAGTAGGACACTTTAAATTTTTTATGGTAAAACTTAAAATATAAAATGATAGGAGGCCAATCAAGTGCCACCAAAGTGATGTTAATATATATGAGAAATTCAAGTTTCCCAAGACAGTATTTTCTAGCTCCACAACAGATTTTAATAATGTGTGGTTCTGAATCATTCAACTTTGCTTTTAGCCTGAGTGTATATTCTATATAGAAAAAGTTTCCAATAATTATAAGATGATACGTGTCATTAAACATCACTGAATTAGTGGAATATTCCCTCCAGGAGTCATAAGATGTTTTGTAATCTTGTGACACCTCAGGATTTATGAACTGTCTTTGGGGATTGTATAGGGATGAGGTAGGTTATTTGAACTTCTCTATTTGAATCCTGGGGATATGCAATTTTGTGTAATACTGATTGAGAGAATATCCATCACCTAACACTTTGGCTCTCTTCAGTTAGTCAGTAAGGATCCTAATTCACAAGTCCTCACTGCTGGTCTACAAGTGTTTTGCACAAAACCTGACACACCCCAAACACCCATTTCTAGGCAGAACCTGATGTAACACAACCTTCGAAAATGTACTGGGTACAGTCCAGCTCGAAAGTTAACACTGGCATCTTACACTTAAATGTGGCTTTTATAGAGGGTATATTCCCAAGGAGAAAACTTCAAAAACACAAGAGAAAAGTCAGTGGGGAGACAGCCCAGAGAGTGATGGGTTGGGGGGAGGGGGGATCTTGGAACACTGGACTTTGTCTTGTATGTCTGCAGTGCCCTAATATGGGCACCAGGGGGCGCTCCTGCATGACGCAAACCCCCCACAAGTGTTCCGGGTCAGGCTTTTTCTTTAACATTTGCCCCAAATCCTAAGAGGTACCCCAGAGGCTGCTTCTATCCATAAATTGGTGGAGCTTAGAACATGTGGTGAATAACATCACAATTGGAGAGGACACATCAGTCTGAGTCTGCCTTTTGAAAAAATTGACATGGTGTCAATTTTTATTTTATTTTGGTGGACAGAAGGGCTTAAAGGAGGCAGCGAGTGATGGGGTGGAGGTGCTGTCCACAAGCTGTAAAGAGGCTATCTCCGAAAGCAACAAGTGGACATCAGTAGCCCAGGGGCAGGTATTCACCCTTTTTGTTAACAGATTAGTCTGTAGGTTAGATTTTCGGTGAAAGGTGGAATCAAAACCCTCTCCTCTTCCCCGGATTTCACCCAAAATCAGAAAAATCACCTGATGCACCGAGCATACCCTTGAACCTTAGGGAAGTGGCTTCTGCAGGGAGTCTCCAGCCTGCTGGCTGCGTTTTGCAAGTGAATATGTGATGCATTTAACAAGCTCTTTGCCATTTTCCAAGTATCAGAATCAGGGTGGAAAAGTCCTTAGGCACCAGAAGGAGTCAGCTCTGAAACTTCCAACACACTGAGTTCCAGAGCAAAATCCCTCGTCCTGTCTCCACTTCATACTCATACTCACGCACACGCACCCCACCCTCAGGGGCTTGCTCTATCCTCTCTCTTCCCCAAAAGAAGGTCTTCAGAGACACAACCTTAAACCCGAATACTCACCATATTGACTTCGGAAACCATGTCGATGCTGGCAATATCAATATTCATTCCCACGGCCACGGGGGGACCTGCAAAGCAAGATGGCCAGTCACGTGATTTCTCAGAACTTCATTCATTCTTAGCAAGTCTTGTCTCTGGCATGGGATGCTTTGTCCCAACTCCCTCATCACTGCTCCCCCTCAAATTCTTCAATTCCCTGTTCCTTTTATTGGAAGGGTGTGAGGGCTCCCCGTGGAAGTAATCGATTGAACGTGCACACACGGGTCCTGATGGGTAAGGGATTCCAGCTCTGTCTGTACATGTAGCTGACAAAACCACAAGATCCTGCCAGTGGGAGGGAATTTTACATATTGCACTGAAAACCCCTCCTTTTCCTCATTCTTTCCCACCCCCTTGGGTGCACAGGTTTTAACTCTGAGTTTGCTTAAGAGTCTGAAGCAAAATAAAAGGGATGCATAAGCATGTCTAAGGTGCCAGAAAGAGAGGCTCCTGCTCCTTCTTCCCCATACCTTCCTAACTGCCCCCCACGCCCCGCACAGGTCCTCCCCACAGCACCCCCACACCCTGCCTTGAGGATTCCAGGACTGAATAATATTCAGACACAGGCACTTTAAACCATGGCTAGAACTCTTTGGAAGTAGGCAGGCACAGGGGGTTAATGCCTCTTCTCCACTAATTGTCTGCACATCTTGTCCTCAAAAATGTTCACCATGGCCTTCAAGAAGTGGGTACCTCTGGGCACACCACTGACTAAACTTAGGGGCTTGTGCCTCAAGGAAGCAAAAACAGTGAAATAGGATTTCTAACAGTGAAATCAAACGACAGCTGTCACCAGTATACACCAGGAGGGTCTCCCTGAAAGACATCTAAGTGTTGGACAGTAACAAACCAGCCCAAGTTTGGATCAGTTTCTCAATTATAGGGACACAGAGGCACATCCAGTCCACCACATGTACCCACAGAGAGGGAGAAAGAAGGCACAGCGTGCACAGAGCTCAAAAGACAGCTGAGGATCTAGCTGGGCTGTTTCTTATTTCCAAGGCAACCCCATTACCTCCAAAATCAGGTCTCAGGCGAATATCATAGCCTTTCAGGAGTCTATCCACCGTCTCTTTAACCAGCGACATATTACTAGGGTCATTGACACTAAAGAAAGAAAAGACAATAAGCAGGCATCAATAAGTAAGCCGGCACAGCGTCTTCAGCATCTATCTGATCCACACTACAGATCCCTGCTCACAGAGGTATGCAGACAGAGCCCTTCAAAGTGAGAAAGGAAAAAGAAACGCGGGCACACTTACCTCTGCGCACAGACAGCGGCGATGATTAAGGGGAATGACCAAATCCCAAAGTAGCCCCTTTTCCGGACTCTCCACATCCCTTTAGTTTTTGATGGGAATGAGGGTTTCACTGAAGAGAAGAGAACCAACTTAGTCTGCCCAGTGCGGTAATTCTAATGTGAGGCGCATGCGCACGGCGTACCAAAACATCAAAGGGGCAGCGGCGGCTGCCTGGGACCTAGCAGATTTTCTGGTTAAGGGAAAAAAAAAAAAAAAAATTAAAGGGGAAAAAGGAAAAACATATGCATGTCTAATATTTACCTATCTGAATAATATAGAAAAGTCACTGCACAGGAGCCCCCAGGGCCAAAGCTTTGTAGTCCTTTCGTGAAGACAAAAACAACCAGAGCGTCTGGGTAAGTTTGGGTAGTTGCAGGGGGCAGCTTTGCACCTCGCGCCGGGTTGTGATGTGTGTGTGTGTGTGTGTGTGTGTGATTCCTCTTAACCATGCAAAAACCAGATTAGGAATTGAGGGTTAGCAGGCATGGGGTGCTAGGGAGCCCACTTCTGGTCTCAGCGAGCAGACAGAGGAGACGAGTTTGAACTTTATTTCGTGGGCGCACAGCATCCCCTGCCTGGGGCGAGACGGGTGCTGGAGGTGGGAGAAGCGCTTGGGGCGGCGGGGTGGGGAGGGAGGCAGGAGTCGGAGCGGGAGCAAAGAAACCAATGGGAGGAGTGCTGAGCAATCCCTGGGATTTGGGGCGCGGGAAGGGGGGGGGGGTGGAGAATAAGAAGACACGGAAAAATCAAAAAAAGGAAGCAAGAACAGGAAAAAGAAGAAGAAAATGATGTCTGGTCTTTTCTAGGAGTGAAGGCGCAAGCTGTTCTTCACTACTCACGAGCGGGTTCTTTCTCCTCCTCACCCTTCGCCCCCTATCCCCAGAGAAGAAGAAAACCTCGGGGTCCCGGTTTCTCGTCGTGTGTGACGTGCCTGACCCGCTAGTCCCGAGTATTTATAGCAGGAGGAAGGGGGTGGGCGAGGGGAGCCGAAAGGCAACGCTGCCTCTCCAGGTTTCGGGGTGGTTCTGCATTGGGAGATTATTGGTGGGGAGGGTGGGGTGTCGCCGGCGCAAGGAGACCCTGCCTGGGGCGAGATGCGGGGTGAGTGCGGGGGGCGGGTGCGCGGGCCGCGGGTGAAAGCTTACAGGGCGGGGGCGCGGGCCCGGGCGCAAAGGGCAGGTGGCGGAGTGGGGCGCGCCCCCCACGCCCCCTCTGAGCGCGCACAGGCGCGCGCACGGGCAGGCTCGTCTCCGCCCGCGCCCCTCCTTACCTCGCGCGCCCGCGCCGGCCACCTACTCCCGCCGCGCGCGGAGCCGGCGCCCCCGCCCCTCTGCCCCGCCGCTGGGGGCGCGCGGCCGGGAGGGCCACCAGGCCTTTCGGGAGCTGCGCCGGGCTGGGAAAAGCCAGAGCCGACCCTGAAGGCTGGCAAAAGGAGGAAGGGGCACCGGGGGGGGGCCCCGGGGGGAGCACCGCGTTCTCCCGCTGTCCGCGCGCCGCCGCGTCCTCTCCGCTTGGCGGGGCCGGTGGGGATGCGCGAGCCCCGAGGCTGCCTCTGCCCTCCCGCTCCAGGCTCGGCCGGGCTCGCCGCGGCCGCCGAGACCCAGAGGAGGCAGCCGGCGAGCTCGGGGGTGGAAAGGGAGGGACATACTCAGTCCATTCAAGGTAGAGATCTTGCTGGAGGGAATAAGACTTGCGGCGGGCCGGGCAAGCTCTCGGGCTGGGGGCCTGGGGCCAAGCGCAGGAGTTGAGACCTGGACGGACGGCTCTGGGGTACTCCCGAGAGAATTTTGGAAGCCAGCGGCGTGCGGGTGGGTAGGCCAGGTGCTCCCGCACCCCTCCACTACCCTTCCCCACACACAGCACGGTGATTAACTGGATAATCCAGAGCTCAAACATACATGCTGTACCCCAAAGCTTAACTCCCATCTCCTATGGCAAAGAATCACTGTCACCCTTAACTGGGCGCCTATTACTTGTCTAGCTAGCGTGCTTAGAGTGCTTCATTCATTCATCCTCACAGCAAATTCTAAGTTTTAGTCATCAGGGCACTGTCCCCAAATTATGGATTTAGAAACTGGTCCGCAAAGCTAAGGAACTGGCCCAAGGTCACCCAGGTGACTAGAGGTGGGGCCTGGATTGGACTCCAAAGCAGTGTCCCTAACCACTAAACTAGGCAGCCAGAACTCCCCCGCCAACAGCCCCTGTGGGCTGAGCCCCGGGTTGTGATAGCAACCGATGTATGGGCAGTTCGGGAGTCGTCTCCAAGTGAGTTCGGCAGAGGGGAGGGTCCTGGTTCCGGCTGCTCTCTTGACCCATTTACCTCGTGACAACGTCTGTTCAGCCTATGTCTGAGGGTCATCCGTGGCAGCGGGGAGCAGGGAGGTCTCCCTGGGAGGTGAAGGGACTGGAGGGCTGGGAAGTGCAGTCCAACACTTCTGGCAGACGCAAGGCCAGCAGCCAGGGGAGCTGAGTGTCTTTACTGGCAAAGAGAGTTACTGGGTTAGAGGCAGGTAGAACTCGGAGCCATTGACAGAGCAGATTACTGCATGGCATTACACCAGGCTCCCTAGAAGGAGGTTGAGGGGGAGAGAGAGAGGGGAGGGAGGAAACTTGAAGAGGGAAAAAGGGAGCCAGAAAGGGAGGGAAGGAGTCAAGGAAGAAGCAGGACTGGGAATCTGTAAGTCTCCTATCTGTCATTACTTGGGTTGAGCGTTACTGGAATCAAAATGCAGAACTAAGGCCAAGAAAATAGCCAATTTTTCTCTTTCTCTTCAAGCTCATTTATCATGGGAATCTTTCACCTTAACTAGACTGAAGGGAAAACAAGATTTAGATTCCTAAATTCCTTAATCAGTCTGAACCCCAGGTAACCAAATGGTGAAATCCTAGAAATCTTCTCTTTCTCTTGAAAACACCTCAAATCAGAGTTTTCCTTCTGACCTGGGGTTATCCATGTGTTACTTGCTGCACTGCCGGTCCCTCCTATTTAGGCTCACTGTATTTTGGTAAGAAAGAGTAAAATTTAGTAAACAACAAAACCTCAAATACTGCTATCCACCTACACAAATATTAATAATAACCACCACCCAGTGAATAGTTAAACAAGTATTTATGGAAGCCCTATAATATAGAAAGAATTAAAGGAGAAAAGGGAAAAGAATTAAAAGTAATTTAAACCTTAGCAACTAAAACATTAGCACAGTACAAGCACTATTTCAAAGGGACTGTATTTCTACCTTTTGGTTCAAATTCCAGTTCAAATACTTAGTAATGTTGTGTCTTGGGCAGGCCACTTAACCTACCTAAGACTCAGTTTAGTGTACTGTAAAAATAGAATGATTAAGTCTATTTGATTGTTGTTGAATGATGTAAATATATGGATAGCATTTGGCATGTGATTAATACATAATGCATTTTTAATAAATAAGGAATAATAATTGGTCAGGAAAGCAAAGAGGGTTGAATAGGATTAATCTATTAACACTCAGTGGACACATATTTAGGACAATTATCATACATTATCTTGAAAAGAGAGGAGCAGACATTTCAAGGGAATTAGAAAAGGGTAATAAGGAAATGTATTAAAGACCCAAGCAGCAACCAAGAGGAGATAAGACAAAAGAATATTTATTGTCTTTATGTGGTAAAAGCTCAGGAATATCTTCTGCCAATAACTGTTGCTAATATTAATTAAAGAGATATTCCCACTAGTTGCAAACCCTATAATCAACAGTGGACAATTCTCTGGAAGACTCTACTGATAGCACTGCCCAGGAATGTGAAAATTGGAGCAATAATGTGCAAAGGGAGGCACTGTTGGAACCTGTAGATGTGTGGGATGCAAGACTGCATCCTCCATGATCCAGATGTATAATGAGTTAGTACTGTTAGATCATGCCTCAAAATCATCTCTGCGTGTGAAACATATAAATGCCAAGTAAAAACAGTCACTAACCATCTGCTGTTTGTCTCTGCTATACTATTATTCCTTTAGTCAGTAAATATATACTGGGTACCTACTCTAGGTCAAACATTATTTGACAAGCACTTGGACGATGTGTTGAAAAGATATGATCCTTAACCTCCTGGAGCTTATAATCCAGTGTGGGATACATTACATATAAAAGTAATAACAGATTAGCATGCATTATAAAGAAAACAGGGTTTATGGAATCCATAACTGATGCAAATAACTCAGTGTGAGGACTTGGGTAAAACTTGCCTGATGAAGTGATGTTTCCATTGAGATTGCAATGATGAGTTAGTCTGGCAAAGCAGCAGTGGGGAGAATATTCCCCAAAGAAGTAATATGTGAAAATAACCTGGGCCAAGAGAGGATGGAATAAATAAATAATGAAGGAAGAACAGTCAGATGAGAGAACAAGAGAAAAGTACCTCATGATGTGCTTGGAAAGCTGGGGGCCTGGTGATCACCTACAGCAGACAGGTAACAAGCTGAGTTTCAATCACATGAGGAAGATGACAATGGTTGGAGGTCTCTGTTGTTGCAAGTGATAGGTGATGCTGGTCTGAATTAGGGTAGTGACAATGAGGGTGGAGAGAAGTGCCTAGGATTATGTGAGACAAGTGTGAAACACTGTGACAGATGGGACATGGGGAATGAGGGAGAAGAAGGATTGAAGGATGACTCAGACACTTCTGGCTTGAGCTACTCAGTGGCAGTGGTTAAAGAAAGTTGATAGGGGGCCTCCCTGGTGGCACAAGGAGTTAAGACACAACCTATGAAGCTGTCCGCAGCCTCCACAGTAGGAGTTTGATCCCTGGCCGGCCAGGGAGCAACCCACATGGCACAGCAGACCTCTCCTGACTTGCCTGCTGTTCCTCTCAGCAGTGTACTTTGGTCAATCTGCCTGTTCTGTTCCCCACTCGGTGTCTGGTGAATCCTCTCACCCCTTGCACCTCTGGCCTGTACTCCAGCTCTTGTATGCATAAATAAATAAATCTTTAAAAAAAAGAAAGTTGATAGGAATGGTACATTCCATTTGGGTCATGGTAAGTCTAAGGAATTTACTTGCTACCCAGAGTGCACTGGACCTTAGTTTTATATACCTGAAGCCCAGGAGTCAGAGTGAAATGAGTCCATTTCCATGTTCCATCTTAACTATATTTCCATCTTCAAACTATTTCCCTTTTCTGCTTTAAGTTTTCTTTTTAGAACATATTACTGTCTAACATAGAATATTTTACCTGTTTTATTTCTATCTCCCTTTGTGGAATGAAAGATCAAAGAAATATAGACTTTTGTCTGTTTTGCTCAGGTTGGTATTCTAGCACTAGACACCTGATGCTTAGATTTTGGATGAAGAGGTGTGCATTTGATGTCCTTGAGGGTATAAGCAACTCAAATCATAGAAGTATGTGAGACTTTTTTCTAGGGAGAATGAACAGAATAAGAAAACTAGAGACTAGAAGATTACCTTGTAAAGGACAAGTCAGTCATTGGGAGGGTCAAATTAGAACTGATCCAAAAAGTAGGAGGAAACTATGTGATCAAAGTAGAGGGAAGAGAAAAGTCTAATAAGGAAGAATTGCTCCATTAAATTCTCTAAGAAGTTTTTACATTTTTGAATGGATAGTGCCTGTTCATGGAATAAAAGTCAAAAGATACGTTACAATATCCTTCTGCTATTGTGACTCCCTCCCTATAAACTAACACTGCTCAGTGGAGCTGGGAAGGTAACATGGATTTCCATTTATGCACTTTCAGCTTTGAATACCTGGTATGGAACATGCCCAGAGGAGCCAGGTCATCCTTCCTGACCTCCTGCTGCTGGGGAAGCTCCAGCAGTGATGAATTTGGAAAAGGTTCTCATGGGACATGGTTTACATCCTTCACCAAATCATTTAA